CTCCCAACCCAAAGCCAATAAATAACAGACCTGGTTTCATACAGTTTTTCTGGGAACAAATTCAAATACTGAAGCAGACTTTCAACCTTCCAGCTTTTCTTAACTGTGGAGCAAAGACTGTCAAGTCAAAGAAAAAAATATATTTGTCAGCCACTTCATGATGAGATTTCTTGGTGATGTTATTACCTTCTACCTAAATAAGTTGAAGCTTTTATTGTAGTATGCAGTGTCAGATTGCTGTGAGCATCTTCGTAATTGAATGTCAAGATTCAACTCAGTTGCAAAAAATAAAGTAAAAAAAAGCATGATGCATGTAGCAAAAGACAAATCCTTATTTTTTCCATAATGCAAATATGCTGACAGACAAGACTGCCATGATCCAGATGTTATACAGTTTCTTATGTTTATTAAATGAGAAAATGCAGGTAGAGGACATAGAACCATGCTTAGCTAATGCTCAATTCAGTGAAAAACTGCCAATTAATTATTTTATAATACCTTGGAAATAATGCTAACGAGCAAGATGACACTACTGTTTGGAAATTCACCAGTATGCATTATGGTGGATCTCGGCTATGTTATAGCCATCTTGAATAAAGTCTAGATCTCAACCACCTATCAGATTTGATGACTTCTTTCAAATACTTGTTTCAAATACAGGAAATATGTAAATATAATAATGGTGCTCAGACTCTGAATCCATGTAACAGTTCCATAGCCCATTCAATTGTGTTCCCCTCAATGATAAAAATAAACTCAGGATCACGCCTGTAATCCTAGTACTCTGGGAGGCCGAGGCGGGCGGATTGCTCAAGGTCAGGAGTTCGAAACCAGCCTGAGCGAGACCCCGTCTCTACCAAAAATAGAAATAAATTAATTGACCAACTAAAAATATATAGAGAAAACATTAGCCGGGCATGATGGCGCATGCCTGTAGTCCCAGCTACTCGGGAGGCTGAGGCAGGAGGATCGCTTGAGCCCAGGAGTTTGAGGTTGCTGTGAGCTAGGCTGACGCCACGGCACTCACTCTAGCCTGGGCAACAAAGTGAGACTCTGTCTCAAAAAAAAAAAAATAAATAAAATAAAAAAAATAATAAACTCAGGAGAGATACATTTTTATGGACACTTATAGAATGAAGCTCGACTGAGAATTGTAAAAACTCTTGAAGACTTTGACCTGGGCCCAACTGAAAAGTGTGTGAGAGTCAACTCGGTGTCCAGTGGTCTGGCTGAAGAAGACCTAGAGACCCTTCTGCAATCCCGGGTCCTTCCTTCCAGCCTCATGCTACCAAAGGTGGAAAGTCCTGAAGAAATCCAGTGGGTGAGTAGTGAATGTTTCTGCTTTAAGGCTCAGGACTGCCTAAGGAGTAGCAAAAGGAAGGGATTTGGGTGCCACGGGTTTTGAAAATGCATACACAGAGCAGAAAGGAGAGGAACTGGAGAAAAAAGAGTGAGTGCAAGAGACCGTTCCCTTCAACAAGGAGGACCTTTGCCCAGAGTGTTCTATGGAACAGCTCCACTTTTGAAATGGTGCGTCTGCTTCCTAATTGGATTTGTGGTTTGGACAGAACAGTTTCTTCAATAGTCTTCCCATAGCAATCCCTAGAAACTAGGTTGCCTGAGAATTTCATCCCTTCTTCCACCCTGCCAGGTCCTGAGCCAAGGCCTCCACCTGGAAGAGCGGTGACGTAGGTGGCTCTTACCGTGATTCATTTGAAATCATCATAGGCAGCGAGAGCACATTAGCTGCATATGAAAAAATGAACCCAAAGAAGGGGAGGAAAAGGTCACTCGTAAGGGCAACTAGAGGAATAAACAGGAAGCTTTTAACCAGTGGTTTTAATTAGCACAGATATTATTTCCTGAACAGTTCTCTAGTGCATCCTTTTTAAATTGCTGACAGGTGTGTTTGTGTTTCATGACGGACTTTTCAGCCAATAAAAACCTGAAATGTAAAGTGGTAAAATTACTTAAGAAAACTTCTGAAAGGGGCCTAATTATACTATGATTGTTTAAATGGTGAAGGGGGGGGCCCACTAGATTTTATTTAGGGGGTGCTATTATTCTGTAGATATCTGTGGAATAAAATAGCATTTCCTTGTGCCATTCCAGGGCAGAGAGGCTGTGAAATATGAATGCTGGAAGTATTTGTGGTCAGGGTGAGTGGGCAGTGGTGGTCTTGAAGCCACATCTAGAATTATCTCAAAGGCTGTGGGTGCAACCACAGCGGTGCGCCGAGTGGTTGTAACACCTGACGGAACTGCTCACCTTCTTAATGCATCCGGATATCGTGGGTCGGTGCAGCCTGGTGCCACGGCCACTGCCACATGTGGCTACATTTGAAATGTGGCCAGTGCAAATTGAGATGTGCTGGAAGTATAAAATACATACATGATTTTGAAGACTTGGAGCTCCCACCCCCAGAAAAAAAAAAGTGTAAAATATCTCAATAATTTTTATACTGATTACACACTGAAATGATAATAATTTGGATCTATTAGGTTGAATACAAGAGATTATTAAAATTAAGTTCACCTGTCTCATTTCACGCTTTTAATGTAGCTACTAAAAACTTTAAAATTATATGTGTAGCTACCATTCTATTTCTTTGGGACAGCTCTGTGTTGGATTCTTCTTGAAGGCCCGGGTTCAAGGACCAATATTGACTTACTAAACTGGAGTTCTTCTCTCCAAGGTTACCCTGTAAAGCTGGGAGATACTGGTTAGATTATGTTAATATCCTGGAGGGCTCTGACCCCATTCAGATATGTCTTAAGTTGATTGAAATGGACTCTGGAGTCACTGTTCCCTTTTGGTTTCATAGTTAATGCCTATTTATCACCGTTATTACCCTTAATTTAAGATGGGGGTTGGGGGGACCCACCTAGCCCTCAGCTATGGCTTCTGTTTGCTGTTTGAAATCCCTGGATGTGAGAAACCTACTGAAATCTAAATAGGACTTCTAGTTAACAGAAGTCTTTTTGGCTGTTTATTTTTCCCTCTCCGTTTGTATTTATGCGAAGCATAAAGCCCAGAGCCCGATGCACAACTGAAAGATGGGCTTACTTGTTTTCTTTTGTGTGAGAATCTCTTGCTCGCCTTTTGTCGCTAGTGTGGGTTCTTGTTTGACTGGCACGGCTTATTGGACTATAACAAGCGTAACTCTGCCTCCTTTGTCGTGGGACAATTCTCCCACAAATCCCGAACAGTGTGCATTCTTCCAGCACACTATCGGGTGTGCACTGGAATTGAAGGCATTGCTGAGCCCTGCGACTTTGTCTCCTCCCCACTCTCTTTGTGATTTCTCCCCCTTCTCTCCTCCCCCCACACCCCAGCCCCTCCACCTCGCTGAAATGAACACTTTACCAGGCCGGAAACATTTAATCGTCTCCTTTTGAAAAAATTAATTGAAACTTCTCCACTAGTTACCTTTTGTGTTAGTACTTAATGCAATTTTTTAAGAAAGAGGGGGAGGAGGTGGAGGAGGAGGATGGGCTAGAATATTTAATTTTTAAATGCCTCTATTGGCTTAAAAACAAAAGGCATTAGAGGTCTTTCCCACTAAGAACAGAGACTCTATTGTAAGGTGTTTACCTAGTTTTAAACTTTTTGATTTTTGTGGTTATAACTGTTATCGCAAAGAATGGGGCAAGTAACTTCGCAAGTTTTCTTTTTTTTAATGAGGGGAGAAAATGCCCTACCACACATTTAACAACGAAACCACTAATATTTTTCACTACCAGTTTTCGAGCTTACATGAGGCAAAATCATGTTTTATTTTCATTTACATCGAATGCTGTGCATTTTATCCCGTATACCATAGCCTGCTATTTTGGTGGAGTTATTCCTCCCCCTGAAAAGTTGCTGAGGAGGTGGTGATGATGCTGGCCGCGGGGGCCAGTGGGAGCAACTGGGAATAATTCTTCATTACTGAAAGCTGTGATTTATTTTAGCCTAATTGTAAAGTTACTGCAAATTGCTCAAAAGCTTTTTAAAGATCCTAGTGATTAGATTTTTTTGTGGGGGGGGGGTTGCACAGGCGAGGAGGGGCAGCTAAAAGGGGAAATAACACCTCTAATCCCGCTTCTGGTAAATAGGCTGCCAGCTTTTCAAATGAGTTTCCTTTCTATTAGTCAGAATATTATGCTAAGCCTTAAGCATTAGTTTTTTTATGTTGCCATAGCAGCCTTATTCCTGCAGGGTGGTGACCTGTGATGATTACAGTACAAAGCTTATAGGGTCTTGAAACCCCCTTTGAAGATGAAAAGTCTTTGATGGTTTATATTTATGCAAATCTCTTAGATATGATTTACCCAACTGAGACTGAATGGAGAGATGATTAAAATTCCCTTTTCCTTTGATATCCATTAATAGCTGAGTATTCCTTAAATTTAAAATGGATATATATGTTTTCATCTTTATTTACAAAAATATCTTTATCATACCTGTGTTTCTTTCCTATCTCCCCACATCTTATTAGATCTAGATAGACATAATAGATTTACAATTTAGAGTGTGTTTTTCCCCCTTTTGAAAGGTGGGGGTGGGGGGGAATCTGTGCAAGAGCTTTTGTATGTTTCCAGATGATAGATTTTGGAATTTGGGCTACCCCACTGGCAGCACAGAGCTAGCTGTGAACTGGTCTCATGGAAAAAATTGGTGAGCTTTGGTCTTCAAAGAATTAAACTTCCTTTTTAAGGTCTTCCTAGGTAAGCTAAAAAATTATGAAGAAAAGCCTTCTGAACAAAGCGTAATGGTGCTATAATAAATAATATGGATTCTGCGTAGAAGGACACTGATGAACACCGCTGAACACTGATGTCAGCGCTGGGCACAAAACAAAAACAGAATGGCAGGTAGAGCAAGACTGCATTGTTTTAAGGACCTACCATTTGCATTTAAGGAAGTGAGGCTGAGAGGTCTTAAGTAAATATGTTTTCAGGGAAGCATTTAAACTGGAAAATCTCTTCTTCCAGTTTCAATTCCTAGGCCTCAAACTGCTCCTTTGGGGAAAAAAATTGTAATGCTTGAGGTTTTACTATTTAGTTTGGTGGGAATTTTGTTACCTTTTTTCTTTGGTCTTTCTTCTTCTTTTTTTAAATTCTTTTGTGTGAATGAAAGAGGCTAGGATATTACTTCCTCAGGTCAAAGACTTAAATACTACTTATATGTCTACATTTCAGTGACTGTATATTCTTTCCCCCACTAATCACCTATGACACTTTTGGTTTTAGTTTTCAGACAAATTTTCACTATACTTAAAAGGCCGAAAACTTGAACAACCAATGAACTTAATCCCTTTTGTGGAAACTGCAATGGGTTTGCTTAATTTTAAGGTAAGAAAAACCGTAACATGGTTAATAAGTTAGTATTTTATTTATCACAGAAAGAGAACTTTTGTTTTCAATTTTAACATCTACTTAAAATATTTTTCTAGAAATATTTATAAGCAAAGGAAATGTACAGCACCACTTGTTCTCTGTAATAGTTCAAAACCCAGGTTGTCAGCATCTTAGAAAACAAAGAAATTGGTTAAGTAGAAAGGAAAAGCTTCCCAGTCCAAAATACTTAAATGAAACATTCATATATTCCTAGTAATAATTTTAATTAAATAATCACTGTGTGAATATATGCTTTGAATTATTACATTTATAGACTAAATGTACATGAAAAATTTATTTGGTCACCCTTGTGAATTAACTTTGAGTTCTTTTCTATCAATTGCCTTTTCATTAGAAAATTTTCTGGCTTCTCTGTAACAACATTATCCATAATGCCTAGCAGATAAAATTATTATTTGTAAGTTCATGTACACAAATAATTTGTAGTATATTATTTCAATTTCCTACATTAGAACATAAAATATTTTCCAATATAAATTCAGGAAGATTAGCCGAGCCAAGTGTTTTCAACCATTGTTGGTTGCATTAAACTACCTGCCTTAAATTCTTAAATTCATAGCTAGCTCATATTTTTCCCCTTTATCAGTGAGCATTTATAGTGTTTTCCAAAATAAGCCCCTCATTCCACCTGACCTGTGAACGTCAACCTAGCACCCCCTTCTCAGAGTTCCTAGCCTACCTTTTTATTTTCCCCAAAGAGCAGGAGAAAAGTCACTAAAAACAAAGGAAAAAAGGTGGCCGAACTGTACTGGAGGAGAATGTGTGAGCAAATGCTCCGAGAGGAAACTCCGTGGGGCTGTGCAGGAGGACCCGGTGCAACTTTTTGGGGAGCTGCTTCCACCCTGGCCTATTGAGCAGCTTGTTTACACAACTAACCTTACAAGTTCTCCCAGCCCACCCTAGAATCTTCAGAAAATAATCAAAAGCACATCCCTTAGATGCAACTAGATGCATACAGTGATTTAATTTTAAGTGCCGTTTTGTCATTTTATTCCATAATGTATTTAGAGGCACTTACAACGCCTGAAATTAATCAACAGTGTCCCCACGGGTTCCTCATTTCTATGCCACCCACATATATTAGAAGGTCATATCTCCACCTTCCAAGATGCACAGTTATGTCCACAACAAATATCATTAATCTTTACTTTCATATATAAATGTCAAAGTTGCTTTATTAACACATCTTGGATGACTTGTTGCATTTTTATTTTCCCCTCTGGAGTTGTGGGTTTCTGTCTTTAATCCTGAGACCATTTACTTGATCCTAATGCAAATAATCCAATTAGTTTGATTTTAAAATTCCATGCTTCTCTCTTAAATGGTTTTCTGTTTACTATTTGAGAGTCTCTTAAAGCAAAAACAACTTTTGGAAAAATATAACATAGTACAATCAAAATGAGTTTATTCAAAATTTCTCTAGAAATTGGATAAACTACATATTGAACATTATAACTGTATTAATAAATTGTAATAACCATATGAATATAATCCATTAAGCAAAGCAGATATATACAGTATACTTATCTTAGATGATATTAAATACCTTTCAAAAGATATTTCAGTATTTCAAAAGGGGTAAATTTGGGCTGCGCTTTTAGGACTGCTTTCAGCTAAGCTGTGTTAAGAGTCAGGTGGTTCTGTTTCTGACATGCACCATGCTTCATGCTTCCCCCTCTCGTGAATGCATTTCTGTGAGATGGTTCTGTTCTGCTCTTTTGCAGGCTGTGTGTGAAGAAACACTAAAGACTGGGCCTCAAGTGGGTCTTTTTCTAGATGCAGTCGTGTTTGGAGGAGAAGACTTTCGCGCAAGCATAGGTGTCAAAGACTGTGTGTGTGTGTCTGTCTCTGTGTGTGTGTGTGTGTGTGTCTGTATTTTTTCCTCACCCCTCAGCAATGGACATTTACATGACAATGTATATTTGCCAACCATGAGAATGGTTTTTCATGACAATGAAATGGACAATTCTTCCTGATAATTTAGGGGCCCTGTAGCTGTCCTTCTTCCAGAACACTATATTATTAATTCTGTTCATTTATAAAATACATAACTAATAAAAAGCCTGTTGCAGCCTCAGGCACACTCAGGAATACATGGCACCTACTTTGCTCCTAATAAATATATTATGTGAACAACCCCACCGTTGCTTAAATATTTTGTTTTCACATCAGTCTGAGGGCTGTCTGACTGTAATTTAAGGCAATTTCACATTTGCCTTAGTGAATTGTCTTCTATATTATATGTAGTATGTAAATATTACTTAAAATAGACCTTAAATTTCTCTTAAAATGCATTTCATTTTATGCATTATCTTATCACTAAGCATTTACTGAGACATTGTGCTGGTTTTCACCGACTCTCTCACCGTCCCTGGGGCACTGCACTCGAGGTGTCGGGCGTTTGTCTAACTAGAGACTGAGGCATTTAGAAAAGAGGCCAAGGCCACAGAAAGCGTTTTCAGAACCACAGTCACAGTGACCTGCAGACAGGCACTTTCCCTAACCAGCGAGTGGCATGGTCCAAATATAAACAGTGACACCCGACACACACAGGATGAAAAAAGGAATTTGTTGTAATACCAGTCTTTCCAGGAGACTTTTGTGTATCCAGCAGTTCAGACACACTTTTTGCCTCCCTCAAAATGAGTTCCCTTCCGTTTCTGCAAGTTCTCCATCCAAACCCTGAAGCAGAAGTATTTGGCTCAGAACCTCAGTTAAGACAAGGCACTGCGACCACAGCACACACGATTCTGTGCTCAGTGTGAGAAGTTAACTGTTTCCCTGCACAGCTGCTTGGCCGCCTTTCATGGTGCTATCTTTGCACTGACACTTTTGGGCAATGGTAAAAAGGAAAAAAAATATATCAGGAGTCACTTGTGACCCTGAATCTACCTCCTGAGGTGGGGGAAGGGCCTTTTCTTAATGCTTGTAGAAGCCACTATATTGAAAGGTGCCTTGCCAGTTAAACAGACACGTATGACATTTAACTTTGCCTCCACAAATCCCTCTCTTAGTTTATATTTGAATCATTATTTTGCTCAGGAGCAATTCCAAGGGAGACATAGATGTCTTTACAAACTGGGTTTTTATAATTGTCTGGGTTCGGTTTCCCAAGCTAAAGCCTCCTTTTTCTGTCAACATCCCATTTTCAGGTGCAACAAGTAGCAAAGATACCCAGGATATTCTCTACGCCCGACAAATGATCGTTGTCATAGCAAAGGCCTTTGGTCTGCAAGCCATAGATCTGGTGTACATTGACTTTCGAGATGGAGATGGGCTTCTTAGACAGTCAAGAGAAGGAGCTGCCATGGGCTTCACTGGTATGATTCTTAATGATGTCTTAGAAAACAGTGTCTAGATTAGCTAGCATTCCAGAAAAACAGAAATTTAACCAGAAATTGCTATTTCTAATGTCATCAGATATCTCATATACTTATTCCACTATTTGAAATAGGAAAAAAGCCATACAGGGCAAAATCCTGCCAAACATACTGTCATGTTTTTCTTTGGCTCTGCAAGTCAAAAACAAACCATTCGTTTTAATTTCTCTTTATATTAGTTACCATCTTTTTTCTGTCCTCTTAATTTTTTGGCTGACCCGAGGGGAGGGATGAGGCTGTTACAGAAGTGTTTTTGAGTGAATTGCCATAAAAATTTCAGTTGACAGAAGAGGTATTTCCTAAGATATTAACTCATCTCTGAAAAATGTTGGTGATATTATCTTTGATTTGTTGTTTTACTCATAACTAGAGTTTTTGTTTTCCTGCTACTTCCAGCCCCTCCTTTCTCTCCCACCTCTCAGTAAGTGTCTATGCACCTGGCAACACCTGCGGGCGTCGGCTGGCACTGGGATCAGCGGGTCCCTTGCAGTTCTGTCTGGGGCACAGGCAGGCATCTGGTGATTGGTGTGCCCGATTACGCAGACCCCATGAGCCAGGAGGCAACTGAAAATTGTGTTTTTGCAACAAAAATATATTTTTTGAAAAACCACGATAGGATTCCATGCACAAAACACATGTGCAGTTACATACACACACGCACGTGCTGGCAACCATGGAAAAAAACACCCTAGGCTCTTATTCTTGTTTTTATGATGAAAGTTCTAAACATATTAATATCAGAAATGTACCCAAGTAATAAGGAATACAGACAAGCATCCTGAGATCCCTTTTATAAATATTTTTGAAATATACCTAGTTAGGGGTTACTGGTAGAAATATTTCATAAAGTGGCCTTAAATGTAAAAACATCTTAAGGGATGATGACTTAACTGGAAATAAAAATGGAAAGACTTAAGAAGCAGTTTTAGTTATATTAATAAGTTATATTAGAATTAAAGCTCTGACATTTGTTTTTGTGTTTTTGACATAAAGAGCTAAAATATCCCCTCCAATGTTTAAATAAATGTGATCCCTTATAGAGAAATGTTTTTCAATGATCTGAACTTATTAATAAATGAAATCGCCCTGCATTTCGCAGTGATTGAGAAAGAAAGGAGTCCCTCCACTACATCCATGGGCTGTGCTTGTCGCTGGCTCTTTCCAACAACTGGTTAGGATGTGGCCCAAATGGAAAAGTTGGAGAAAAACTCTATGAAATTTATCTAATAGACCCTGATGTTGTTGGCCCAAAATGCGTGGCATTGGCTGCCAGACAGCCAGATGTTGCTCTCAAATGGGAACTAATTCAGCAAAAAAGAGAAAGCAATGACTTGACACTGGCCTCTCTCCCCATCACTCAGTACAAGCGGGGTTTCCCCAGCCGCCTCTGGGGTAAATGTTTGCTCCAGAACTTCTAAGGGAGCTTGAGAGTCTCTCCACGATACAGCACTGAATTAAATTGGTCCCTAATTCAATCGCAGAAGACAAGCTATTTCAAATCAGGTTTAAATTTCTAGACTGTGCCCAACTCAGCACGAGGAGCTTATGGACCTGGCACCATTGTTTCTCCACAACAGGGAGTATTAAATAGCAAAAAAAAAAAAAAAAAAAAGGAAAACAAAAAAGAAAAAGAAAAAAAGGAGAAAATGGAAGCGGGGACAATGGGAGCAGGGAGGGCACAGGCCCATTGTACGCGCACGTGAACAAGGCTGTGAACCAGGGAGCCACACTCCCCAGCAAGGCTGCAGTTTTTAGAGGGAAGGTCTTTATTGCCCTAATTATATTTCTACAAACCAATATAAGGTAATCAATCTGATAATGAGATGGGAGATTATTTGTAGTCGTTTTTTTTAAAAAAGGTGCTTTTAAATGAGTATTTTAAACCACTCATCATCTGTTTGTCCTAGCTGTTTGGCATTTAATTGCCATACCTTGGGCTTTGCATAAGAAGAGAGGAGCAGAAGGAATAAAAAGCAGCAAAGGAAAAAAGGAAGACAGGGAAGAAGGAAGGGAGGGAGGAAAGAAGGAAGGAAAGAAGGAAGAAATGAACGAATGAAAGAACACATGTCCTATCTGAAGCAGGTAGTTGAAAGGTTTAAAATCCAATCAAAGTATTGTGTTATCCATAACACTGATAAGGAAGACTAAGGATTTCCTGTACTTTTAAAAATTACATATTTTTGTAATGAGTTGTAGTTTTTAAAAGTTAGCTATAGTTTCTTTTCTGTAGTCATTGTTTCACAGGGTCACAGTCATGTAGATTGATTTTAAATCAATGCATTGGATGTGTAATGGCCATTAACTTTAGGAATTTTTTAATAAAAAGAAACCAAAACTAAATCTTAAATAAAGCTTTAACAGCTGACTTAGTCATTCCAGCACTACATGCTGAGAAGAAAGATTATAAATATGAAGCACTATGGGTTTTCTTCTTTTTTGCAGTCTATTGTAGAAGACAAAAACGACACCATCATACAGTTACCTAAAAGACTTGGCAGGTATTGATTTAAAGCACAATATATCAAGTGGTACTGTAACAAGGATTTCATGGTCATCAATTTTAATGTCTTCCAATTTTGCACCCTCTCAGTAACTTGTCAATAACAACTCTTCTGTATAAAATATTTGCTCCATTCCCACATGGCATTAAAGTCTGTGATACAGTTGTTGGAATATATGAGATGCAACAAAAGAGAACATCACGTATGAATGTTCATAAATTTTTAAAACCTAACACATATCTTAAAATTAGCCTCATTACCAAAATATAGGTCCTTGAGAGCTATCAGTAATTTCACAGTATTTTAGGTAGTTTATGTTTGCTCCTCAAATTATAGTGCCTGTACCAAGAAGTTCCCATGAAATCTGTCTTTTTACACATCAGTATAAATTATGCACATAAATTATTAAATTCAGGGCTAACAATTAGTAGGAAATGACTACCAGAACTGACATCCTTTATTAATAATATTGTAACAACTATTAGATTACTTAAATATGATCTCAGTGTCTATTGAAAACAGCTCTCATTTGTCAACACTCATGTTATTTGGTCCCAGAAATTATTCCTCAAATAATTTAAAGAATCTGTATTTATATAGGTTTTTAATGTTTTATTAGTATGCCGACAAATAAGAATGAAATAGCAAACGTAAGGATCTTTTAATTATGCCATTGTAAAGAAAAGATATTGTTATATTACTTAAACTCTTTTTCAGGAAACATTTAAAAAATTTCTATAAACATTTTCTTTTTTCCATTTGATAGAATAATGACAGTGACAGGAATTGACATTTTATAAAACATCAAGAATATAATTTGTATTGGCTAAATGTTAAAGCAACTATTTCAAAAGCAAAGCCAATTGATATACTAACAAATATATTTAGCAGAGTAAATTGATCATTAAATGTACATTCATTTTTAAAGAGCCAAATATGTCTATAACTTTATCATGTAATAAAATATAATCTCATCATTATTATAACATTAAATTATGTTACATTTTATTAATGACCTAATTAGATTCCACACTTCCCTGATTGTTAAATTGTTTTTTTAACAACTGCCTGATTTCACAGAATCCTGTGTATCTTTTGTATGATGTTTTTATTTAAAATCCTTCAACTTCAAAAAGAATCATAAGTCTTTTTGGAAGATATTTCTACAGAAATAAGATTTTTTGTGAGCTATTTAAGACACTATGAAGGGGGAAGTACCCAGTCTTCATTCTAGAAGCCAAAAGGGAAAATCTGGATTTGTTTTTGGATAGACGAACTTTCTGTAATTTTCTATTTAAAAAATTTTAAATGGATTAATCTAGAGACCACAGTGTTCAAATCTGCCTTCTAGCTTACTACTGAATAAAATATATTCATTGAAATTCAATTTTCTATTAGGAGTTAGAAATGATGAATTATGTTCACCTAAAAGAAATAAAATTAAATATATTATTATAAGACAGTATTTGATATCAGTATAGTTATAACATCTGCTTCTGTAAGCTTTATGAAAACTAACAGACCACTTCTAAAAGAAATCATGGAAGGGGGCATAATCTTACAAACTAAGCAAAAGACAACTTGTACAATTTGAGAGAATTCTCATTTAACTTTTTCTACTTCAGTGCAAAATAATCGCTGTGATTTGCAGACATTACTCTTCAAAGTCCCAGCCAAAGCAGTTATTCAGCGAGCTGCCTAGTCAATCCACCTGTAACTAAAAATTAGAGATTATCTGCTCTAAAGTGGCATTTCTATAGGATGTTCTACAAACACAGTTACTTCCGTTGTTGTATTTGTTACGTGGTATTCTGGAAAAGCCTGTCTGATTGCAGTTTTTGTTTTGTTTTCTAAAACAAAAAAAATTCTAATTTTGTTATTTAACATACGGTCTGTGAGACATTCAGAAACCTCACTTGGTAGAAACATTTTGTTTGAACATCTGCTTGTTGTTTGGCGGTTCTGGTGTTATTAATCTTCTTGTAGGTAAGCAGGTGATCCACCCTAACCAAATTGCAGTGGTCCAGGAGCAGTTTTCTCCTTCCCCTGAAAAAATTAAGTGGGCTGAAGAACTGATTTGCTGCCTTTAAAGAACATCAGCAATTAGGAAAGGTAAATGCTTTGTTAATGCCCTGGGTGAGAGTGGTGTTTAAAATACCATGGGGAAGAATAAAAAAATATGTATTGTTTGAATGCTTTAAGAAAACTCACTGTATCTGGGGAGACCTGGGAGAGGGGGAGGGAATAACATTCATCAGTGAGAAAATTGCTTAAGGTAGATTTGCCCTGCCCATGTTCCTAATATTTCACTAACTGGCTATCAAGTCTCTCATTTTATTCTTTTCATAAAATGTATTGACAGCCTTAGAGAAAATAGAGGTCTGTTTAGTTTTTCTCTATAGACTCCAATGCAGCATTCATATGAAAATAATTTTAGATCGAAGTGAGAACAAGCTGTAATGAAATAAACACAGTTTGACCAAATGGTTCTTGTGGAGGAAAGAAATAAATTTCAAGTTATTTTAATTTGGGGGAAAAAAAGTACAAAAATCTCCTCCGGTTTAGTCATTTAAGAGTGGGAGGTTGTATATGTGTTTGTACCAATTTCTGGACCTGAGATTTGGATGGAATGGGAAGCAAATTAACACTGGAGTACGGTTGTTCCTAATTTAGTGCATCATTGAGCCTCGCGTTTCCTGCTCTGTGGGTTTCTGCTATGTAAATATTGCAGTGGTAATGCACAATCTGTCTCCACTTTGTGCCAGTAACACTTAAATTAGGTGTCGCCTGAAGGAAGATTTTATGCTAGTTGCAGCATTGTCAGTTAATTATCTTAAAGGTTATTTGCAATAATACCGTTTGCCTCTTTTTAAGAGGCTAGGAGGGAAAGTTGCATTTATAAATCTATAAATGCAACTTTAAATCTCTAAACTCAGCCTCATGTCTTCCAGAAGGAGTGAAGTTTTGATGCCTACGATGCAAAATTACTTAGGAGAGAAAGGATATTGAAAAATTATTAAGGTTCTAAATATTAAATAATTCCCCCTACAAAAACTAAAAGAAGAAAGAACTGGCCTTCAGTGGTGAACCTGTGACATCCATGTGAGAAGTGTCCCTTGCACTTTTCACTGGCAGCAAGAACACCTGAAAATCCCAGCACTTGCCAAAGTGGGTAACAGTATTAAATGGGTCACTCCCTAAGGATGTCTGCCTTCAACCCCGACCACGCACACATGCTCACACTCACACACTGGCAAGGTTCATCTTTGCACAGATTCACACTTTATATCCAAAAGCAGAATATGGGACATAGTAAACGTCCGATTTGGACTTCTACCAATTTCATGATAAATGGCATCCTTTCATTTCACATCAGCAGTGGTCATCAAAAAATAAAGCATTTTATAGAAAAATATTTTTAAGTCAACATTGTGTTTTATGTCCCTTTCTATATCTTAACCCAAAAATCAAGACACCTCCCCCCCCCCCAATGAATAAACACAGATATTTACCTAGGGAGAAGAGAGCATGGACTCGCTCTCATTCACACATGCAAATAACTCCATCCACTCCCCTCTCCCACTTGCCTATGCACAGACACACTAAATGCTCTACACCTCTGCTGTGTACCTCATGCCAGCTGAGGATATACATGTGATAAATACTTCCTAGTGAAATAGTAAACTGAGGCAGCATATGGACCATTAAAACAACAGCGAGAGCAGAGTTACAGGCTGGACTAGCACTGCCTCCATGACATGTCCAAACTGTGTTCTACACTGGGTAGCAGCATCCAAAGGAGGCCACTGGGCATTGTAATCAGATAGGAGTATGGGAGAGTTTACCTTAAATTTCAGTAGCCAGCAAACAAAATTCAAACCAGAAACACATGCTTTTCTGGCATTTAAGTTCTTGAATGAGGAAAACTACCCTTTTCCCATTGTATCTTGAAAAGTGTTGTTCCCAGGGAAAATTGTTCCAAAGTTACCCATGCGTTTTGATGATGGCAACTTAAATGTTAAATTCTGAACTGGGTTTTTTGGTTTTTTTTAAAATAAGAAATACCCTCTTGTTGGGGTATAAGCTTGTACAACAGGGTGGCAGGACGGCTTTTCTTAACACAGAACCATAGAAATTAGAGCAGAGGGGAGACTAACTATTAGGTAATTTCTTCCCTGCCCCATTCATGGAGGTTTGTTTCCTACAGCAAATTCTCCTGGTGCTTTGTCCAGCAAGGTTGAAATGATTCAAGTAATGGGGCTTCCAGTAGGGACATATGGTTATTTTATCCAGTTAGCATGTTTCTTTCACTTTGCCTATAAACTGGCTGGTCACAAAAATTGGATCTGCAGGTAGGTGACTCTGGGTCTTGAGGGGATCTTGGGGTTTAAATAATGTGGGTTCTGTTTGTAAAGATTTCATATAAATAGGTCGCTCAGTTGTATAAAGTATTGCTTCCAACAAACATCTAATCTGTTTTATTTCAAATGTGAATCACTAATGAAAACACGAACCTTCAGATACTTGTCCAAAGCACAGATGACTCTCTCAAAGATGGGAAACTGATGGTTTGTGTCCTAGTGAGACACTCATAAATTTCTAAAAGACCTTTTTTTCCCCTCTGATGCAATTTTCATTCAAGTAATGCTTTTAAGTAGAAATGACCCAAGAAGACAAAGTTACATATCTTTGCCTTTCTCTACTTCTTCCTGCTCCCCTCTTCAATCATATTCTGCCCAAAGACTAAAGGTATAGTTGAAGTTCACAGTTAATGAAGGGTCATTTGTGTTGTCTATAGTAGTAATGATAATGATTATTATTATTCAGAAATAAAAGTTCTACCTTTTCTTTCTGTCCTCTCCAAATGACAAAATTCAGGGGATTACTTAGATCAAGAGCAGATAGATTACTGGGGGTCTGGTCTTTGGTGTCACAGAATTCTTTTTTTATTATTTTAATTAAAAGTCCTAAGGAAATTAAAAAATTTAAAGTCCTTAGTGTCATGTTGGGTGAAAAACACTTTACATAAAAACAAATAATCATCAGCTCATATAATCTATTACTATTTGGCAGGTAGTGATACGTGCGGCTGCTTTGTGTCAGGGAACTGAAAGACATTTTCAGGCTAAAGAATTGTGCCTGACACAGCAGTCCCCACTAATAAGAATTAGGGCTATAGACTCATATTAGGGACTCCAGGTTATCTTCTCCTATTAAAATTTGTTGGAAATTTTATTAAATACTCCACAAATCTATGCTCCTATGTTAATTCCCATAAACTATTTTTAATTTAGTTGACATCAGTTGTGAGGTCTACATCCACAATATTAATGAAACTGACTCTTTCTTCCATCCTTCCAGAAAAATGTGTTTTGAGATACAACCTGCTTGTCATTAATTATTTTAGTTTCAAATTATTTGGTAAAATACTTTAGACAGGATAAATCATTTCCATATGATTTGTTTTAAATTTATAAGGGATTTTCTTAAAAGTTAAAAGTTAATTCCATTTTTGATGTCATTTATTATAATGTGATTCCAATAATATTTGAAAAATTCTTTTTTGTGGGGATCTTTTGGTATTTTCTTTTTTTATTGCTAAATATTTTTTTAATTTCAGAATATTACAGGGATACAAACGTTTTAGTTACATGGATTGCTTTTGTACTGCTTGAGTCAAAAGTGAAAATTCTTAATTAAAAACTGAATTTAGTATTCCTTATTAAATAAATATGATTTTGTCAGTTTTATCAACTAAAAATTTTATGTAGTATGAAAATTGGTTAAAATGAAAACCTCTCAAGCAAATAGTTAATATTAACTGATATCAGTAGAAATTATAATTTGTATATAAATATAGCATACAGATTTTACAACATATATACATTCAAGTATTATGATCTCACATCTGTCTTATGAACTTAGTGTTAATTTTTTCTCTTTCCAAATTCATCACTTCTTAGGCAAAAATGACAGCTAAAGAAAACAGTTGCTTTTTTTCAATGATCACTAATCACAGGAAATCTTAATATAAGAATTTACCATTTCTTTCCAAATGGAGACTCTGACAGAAAAATGTGAAGGAATAGCAAAATGTATAATGTGTGGTAGAATGTTAATGGTACTTTGCTAGAATATTCTTATTTCTGCAGTATCTGGCTACACATGTGGCTTTGTTTAATTTTCAGTTTTCCAAACACTCTGTTTTATTCATATTATGACTATATAAGTGCTTTATTTGGTTTTGGAAGGATTTCACTTTTTCAGTATTTTTCATTCATTATAGTTTCATAAGCTGGCCAAAGACCAAGGAAGAGGAAGTGTTCATCTTAAAATCCTAGGTTCAGTTAACAATTAAAAAGGTCAAAAACAAGGTCACTACCTGCCATAACAACTGTAAATATCACACATAACTGAAACATTCTAATTTCACTCATGAGAGAACAACAGTACAAATTAATAAGTTTGCATTAATAAGCACATCCTCTACTGGAGTATAAGTTTGGAATTTATAAAAGAAAGAAAAAAGAGTTTTTTCCCCTTATGTAAGTCTTTTCATTTAGAAAATTTACAAACAGTTAATAAATTCCCCCCCCCATATTGAAAGCAAATAATTTTCATAGGTATCTGATTTTGACTCGCACACCTTTCATTTGCGTTTCCAAACGCAGGGCTTTACAAAAGAAATACTGTTTGTTCCAGATGGCCTTCTAGAAGGCTCCCTGAGAGAACTCAGGAGAAGTCTCTCTAGCCAAAAATATTGTTTCCGCTTATTCAAGTGCCAGAAATCCCACTGCCACTCTTTCACGCAGATCACATAAACCATCTAAAGATTTGGTTGTTGTCTTTGTCAACTGAAAGGGTTGATTCCACTAATAGACGGCAATATATCCTCGGACACCCATCGGCCCCCACCTGCAGCCTTGCCCTGGATTTGTCAGAAGAACACTAAAATCAGAACCCAGTCTTGTCTAGTAAAAATGAAAGATGAAGGGACATAACTCTACTTTTGAGATTCGTAGTAATTGCATTTCTCCCTTTATTTCCTTGTTTATTTAATATTTTCAGAACTATATGCCATAATTTTGACTTTAAAATGTCCAGTTCTTAGA